CTGAGGAGAAGGACTTGGGGTTGCTGGTTGATGAGAAGCTCAACATGAGCCAGCAATGTGGTCTTGCACCCCAGAAAGCAAATCGTATCCTGGGCTGCACCAAATGAAGCATGACCAGCAGGTTGAGGGAGGTCATCCTGCCCCTCTGCTCTGCTCTTGTGAGAGTCCAGCTCTGGGGGCCCCAGTACAGGAGAGACATGGAGCTGTTGGAGCGAGTCCAGAGGAGGGCCACGAAGCTGATTGGAGGGGTGGAGCACCTCTCCTATGAGGACAGGCTGAGACAGTTGGGGTTGTTCAGCCTAGAGAAAAGGCGGCTCTGGGGAGATCTAACTGTGGCCTTCCAGTTTCTGAAGGGGCCTACAGGAAAGATGGTGAGGGACTGTTTACCAGGGAGTGATAGGACAAGGGTAATGGGTTCAAGCTGAAGGAGGGTCGATTTAGATTAGATATTAGGAAGAAATTCTTTACTGTTAGAGTGGTGAGGCACTGGAACAGGTTTCCCAGAGAAGTTGTGCATGATGCCCCCTCCCTGGAAGTGTTCAAGGCCAGGTTGGATGAGGCTTTGGACAACGTGGTCTAGTGGAGGGTGTCCCTGCCCACAGCAGGGGGGTTGGAACTAGATGGTCTTTAAGGTCCCTTCCAACCCAAACCATTCTATGATTCTACGATTCTATGAAATTAATTGGATTCATTTCAGTTAAGTTTTAGCAACTAAGTTGGGCCCTTAACAGCTCTGTTACCCAGGCTAAGTTTTCAGGTGCCAACCCTGTGCTTCAAACACACACTTCAAATGCTTTGGGCATTCTGTAATAGACATTTTGTAATACCATGTGCTACCTCTGCATGAGGGCTGAAGAATTTCATAGATTTCCATGTTGTATGGATGTCGCATTGAGATTTTTACAAAAACCAAAGTTTTCAATGAAATTAAGAGATGAATCTCTAGGTGTGGAATGTAAAGATTGCCCTTTATCTAATCAGAAAGTGCATAACAAGTTTTGATAAAGCAGTCTTGAAACTATTTTTGTGAAATACTGTTATAATTCTGAGCATTTAATCTTTTACCACAGTATTTTACAAAGGTAGATGAGTATTATTCTTATTTTTCAGATGTGGAAACTGAGGCAAACACACATTAATGTAAGAAAGGTCACAAAGGATAAAGTCAGTAACAGCATCAGGAAAAGAACTCAAGTGTCCTGATTCCCTTTTACCATGAAACAATCTGCATGGAAATTGAAACCTTGCTAATTCAAATATTTGTTCCTACAAAGTAGTGGACCATGACTGAAGAGATGTAGTTCTAACTCTGCTTTGTCAGTGAATTATGTGATAATGGGGAAAATTCTGATCATCCCCTGCCTTCCTTCCTCTATCTGTAAAATAAGGAAAACGATACTGATCTCCTTCACAAGTGCTTTGAAATCATCTAATAAAAAGGCCTAACAAGACCCCAATGCCATCCAGACATTCTCAATACCATCCTCAATTTACTAAGAGCTATTTTTATATTCTAAAATAATACATTTAGCTTTTGATTAAAAAAAAAAAATCTCTGCTGAAAAATGGAGACAGCTGCCTGACAAATTTACACCTCGTGAACTGTCATGAATGGGAATTTATAGAGAGCGTTTTCTTCAACTGTGCATCTTCACACTGGTAATTTTCTTTTTATTTCTATAAAATAAATGAATAAGAGATCAGTGAGTTCTGTGGACTTAAGCTCTGGGAGAACGGAGAACAGCAGGCCTGCCAAGTCTCTATCCAAACTATACTATCTGAATGAAGAAGTAGGACATTTTTCTTAATATCTAGGAAATAAAAATGTATGGTTCTCAGCATGATGATTCTCCTCCTGAGAATATAAACTAGAGGAAGAGGAGCCAACTAAGCTGCTCCCTCCCACCACTGCGAAAGCACGATAGTTTCTCACTGATACAAGATTCACAGTTCCACATTGCTGCCTCATGGTGCTGCTTGTAAACTCCCTCCTCGTTTTGCACAGCTGGCCACATCTGGCTCTTTTCCATGAGCCTGGCCAGAGTAGCATCTAGGGGAGGGTCTGGGACTTCACAGGTAGGCTAGATGAGAGCACTGCGATGGAGGATGTGGTGGGAGCTGTTCCTCTATGGGACAGATAAGGTGCAGTGATGGTGGGGAAGTGGGTGCCCCTACCCATCTGCTTGTGAGCTTGAAAGCCTCACTCTTCCCAACAGAAACTCCTGCTTTCTGCCCGTTCTCCAGTGTGTTTCACACCTAGATCTCAGTAGCTCACCTGAGAAGGGGGGGATCTCTCCTAAAATTACAAGAGGCTGGACCAGCTCTGTGAGATGCCTACTCTACACACTCTGTAGAAAAGATGTTGAAATATGACCTGAAGTTGTTTAACCAGAGCTTGCAAAATTAGTTCAGATTGGTTTAGCATCCCTGAAGCTGCCCAGATGCTGCTTCCTCCTGCCTATGATGCTAAATTCAATACAGCTGCCTCTTAAGCAGCCACCTCTACAGCAGGATGTTGTAAAACAGTGTCTTTTATAGCCCAGGCTTCAGAATAGGGTATCATCACGCTACACCCATCTCCAAGTACAGAACTACACACTGGAGTGTAAGAACCTGCTGGTTTAAGCTGTTCTGCAGCTCTTGTGGCATAGCAGCTGGCACTTCAGCAGTTCTCCATTTAAAAAAAAAAAGCCTCATAAAACACTCTCTAGGAAAATAATTGCACATGGCCCCTTGTTTCTGAACTTCTTTAATCTTTCTATGAGATAGAGCAACCATAATTAAATGCAATATTCTGGATGTCAAACTGAAATTCATGGCTTTGATAAATATTAGGCGATTAAGCTATTTATAAAATATATAATTTGAAAATCTGCCATTTCATTTTACATAACTATTATTTCTACCATGCAAGGGCTGCTCTCCACTTGGCTCAGCCTGCTAGAAAAGAAAATTAATAAGGATGTTCGGCTGAAAGTTTAAAACTCTTAAAAAATTCAAATGAACAGAGACAAAGTCTCCTTGGGAAGAAAGCAGTGTAAAAATACTCTTACAAGTGAAGTGACTTCATTATCCCCTTTGAAAATTACTTCCTTGCTTTGTGAACAACTCCCACTGCAAATCTTGGAAATCTTACTGAGTCTTCTGAGAAAAAGGAACATTTTCTATTTAGTGGTGCAGTTAAAAAGCTCGTACCAGAAGGTCCACCATGTTAGGCTTATTATTCCTCAGTGTCTTCACAGCATGGAATACGTCAACAGCCCTCTGATGTCGAAGCATTTCACAAACAATACTGATTGCACAAAATGTCCCACTGCGGCCGCCTCCATTCCTACAATAAAAATGATAAAATGGCTTAGTTACAATTGACTCTATGTTACAAGTTCGTACAGCACCAGGGATGGCTACAGAAGGCATGAGTTCCAGTAGGGAGAAACCACAGAACATTACTGCCCCCACAGACTGCCAAACGTTAGGCAGAACGTGATTTTTAATTGGAATTAATGGGCTGAATGATCTCAAACCTACGATTGAGAATTCAACAGGCTGAAAGCCTGGATGGAATTGAACTGCTGAGTTTTGCATCACCCTTCAGTAAGCACTTGAGACAGCACAAAGAGGATGCTAACATAAGAACAAGGTACTTTTAGATTCAGTTCAACACCCCTTTGCACTGTAAACACACAAGGTTGCAACGAGCATCAGGCCTGGAAATGTCACAGAGAAAGTGGATCTTTGAGTTCTTCTATTCCAGATCCTGGTGCTTTCCTCCTGGACCTGAAGGCGTTTCGAGGGAACAGCAAAAGCGCCCCGAGTCTCATTTGTAGGAGCCCTTCTGGTGGCTGGACATTTGGCATGGCACGAGGTGGTGCTGCCATACTCCCCTGGCAGCTGCGCTCAGCCCCTGGCAGCAGGCAGAGGCTGCCTGGCAATGCCTGCTTCTGACACGGTACGTGTTCCCCCTCCACCCACAGTATCAGAGGATGAGCACCCAAAGTGACTTGCTAACAAAGAAGCCAGGCACAAATGTTCATATGCATGATCAAATGCAGTATTTAATAATACTTTATCCCCGGTTATTTTTAATCTTTAAGAGAATCTCTTTCTTTCTGGAAACCCTATTATTTCTACAGCTATTCTAATCAGAATCTTTAGGCTGCGCTTCATCGAAAATAATAAACCTTAATAATTACCAGAGCGCAGACTAGTTAGGTAGCAGGTCTTTCAAACCAGCTTCGCAAATGGTTGATTTTCAAAGGAAGATACAACGTCGCACATCTGTCACATCCAGGCAGTATGAAAAGAATGCTCTCTGCTGCCAAAACATTGCCTGATATTGTGGGACTCTTTGAGAATTTTAATTAAAATAAAGTCATTTAAAAGGATTATATTAGAGCTTTTTCTTTCTTTACTGCCTGGAAGTGACGCATGTGTGATGTTGTACAACTATTTAATATCATCAGCCACCTCAGAGATAACAGTAATTTGCACTTCAAAAGGGTCTTTTCAGCTAAAGATCTCAAAACATTAATTAATCACACTGCACAATGCTCCTTTGATGAAAGTATTATTATCCCCATTCTACAGATGGGGAAACTGAAGAGCAATGACTTGTTCAAGGTCAGTGATAGTGGGAATTATTAATACACTCTTAGATTTTCCTCCATTGTTCTAACACTGGGACCCAACTTTTGAAAGTGTGTTAGCATGTGCTTTTCCCGTTAGCATGTCCCTTCTCCATCATGGCAGCATCTTTAAACAGATGTTTAGAGGACGAGGGATACAACTTCAGGCACTGAAGATTCGGTCTCAAAAGATCGGCTATTGCTGAGGGCAAACAGCGTGTACAAGTATTAAGCCGTATCAAAAGAAGGATGGTGGCAGAGTGGATGAAACCCTGCCTCAGTGGAGCAGAAAGGTCACAGGGGGACAAAAATACATGCCATTACTAGAGAAAGGTAAGGCAATTACAGGATCATCATAACTGGTCTATCACGCCACTTCTACTTCTGTGCTTTATGTCTGGAAGAGGAATCACCCCCCCAATACCACTTATTTCTACAGTCCTTATCTGTAGAAATAAAAGGTACGTTGTTCTGAAGGTATAGTTTTGATTTACTTTGAATAAATATGCACCTTTTCCATTTGCAAAAGTCACTGGACATCTTTATATAAAATAGAGTTAACTTGGACCCATCATCTTTTCACAGGGGTCTATCAAGGGACAGAGAGGGAAACTAATGACCCTCTATAAGAAAATTATACAATTCCTCTTGTATTCAAAGCTTTTAAATGAGCAGTTGTATTATTTATCCAGTTCAAGATCAGACAGATGCCTCTTCACCTCTTCACAAATCTTTTAAAACCTGGTACAAACTCTGTAACAGTATTCCCTTACTTTCTCTCTTCTGTCTCCAGTACTTACAAGCAATGTACAACCGTGCGTCCCTCTCCCCCGTTATATTCTTCCTGCCACTTCTCCACTTGGCGGATGAGCTTCAAGAAGGAGCGTTTAGAAACTGGAGTGTCTCTGTACATGGGCCACCCCAGGAACTGGAACTGCTGCACCATCCGATAGCCATCTTGGGGCTGTAGAAATTGACACAAAAAGCATGAAAAAGAACAGCTTTTGTTTTGGGGTTAGGTTTTTTGTGTGTGTGCATAATTTAGATATTTGTAGCAGCGAGGAACGTTGTTCAAGCAGATCACCGCTGACAAACTACTAATGTAATTTCAACAGCCCTTAAGGAGTTAGGACTTTTAATTTCCAATGGAGTTATTAGAACAAGAGGTTTTAAAGGGAGTGCTATACAAATAGACTAGAATAGTGCAATGGTACAGCTGCAGGATCAAGAAAATAATTAATTAATAGCAAAGCAGAAACTTGGTAGCAATGAGGGAGCTGCAACACAACTTCAATTATATACCTTTTTTTATATGCTTCAGCATTTTGAAGAATGTTTGCATGCTTCTGTCTTTCTTTACAAGAAAGATCAAAACCTCTCAAGATATTTTGAAGCAGGAAACATTTAAAAAACCAAACAAAACTCTCAGATGTTTCCAGCTTATAAAAATATCCAACTACATTTTATTTTATTGTGTGCTACTGCAGCAGTCAGAACCCCTCTGGTGAAACATTACTGAACAGTTGCTTTACGGTGATTTAAAATAAAAAAGGAGCATAGAACAAGTGTCAGTGGCAGAAAATTACAGTCCTTTGAAAAGGGCATAATAAACACACACATACACACGCACACGAAAACTCTTTTTGTCGTCTAGGATTTGCCACTTTCACTTCTGTGCAAAGTGAGGGCATTTAAGTGCCACTTTCAAAATAAGCAACACACAGAAATGTTGATATTACAATTTTTCTCTAGAGTAAGAGGTAATAGGATGTAAGATTAACAAGATATGGGAATAAACCAAAGTGGATGCAGCATTAGATATGTTCTTCATTGGGTTTTGTCTCCTTTATGTCAAAATTTGGAATCTACTGATTTCCTGGCCAGTTTCTTTCAGCTGATGGCGCCACTTCCCAAAGCACATCAGCCCAAGCCAGCGCCCGCTAGAGCTCACATTAACGCTGCTGGAGACTGTGTTTTTATGGCGCCACATTTGCTGCGAATGCAAGGCCTTCACAGTGTTAAAGAATTACCTTGCAGCTTACAATCTGCTTCCCTGTTCGGATATTAGCATGTTTTGGGGTGTGTTTTTGAGGCCTTTCATATCCTGAGAGCTACTGAATCTCAGGGCGGTTCCCCACTTTTTTCAGCAGGGAGCGCTGCTTATTCCTAGCTACGGTTCTTTGGGGCTGGATCCCAGTCCATTGCAAAGGCTGTCTCCATCTGGATGGGAAGAGATGCCTGGTCCATGGTGGAATCTCTTTTCCACTCAGCTTGAAAGACATACCTTGTTTAGTCTTCTGTCAACTTCAGGAGCATAACGACTGGGTATGAGAACATACTTGTACCTCTGAAGTGTTTACATATACTGTGAAGTCTGATTAGTGGGATAGGATCTTCACTAAAAGCCTGGGACTGGTATTGAAAAACATAAAACATGCCTAGTATTGGTGCACAGCTTGCTTCCATGACACAGGATACAAATAAGCAAGATGGCTAATTTTAAACTGCTGAAATAAGCACCGATTTTGGCATTTCTTGGCTACCATACAATCTGAACACTGCATTTATTTCATTTGCATTTAACACACTTGAAATACTTTTTACTTTAATTACATAGAGGCGGCTTTTTTCTCATTGATTATGGTGTGACTCAGTATTGCACCATTGCTTTCAAATAAATAAGCTGAGACTGGTTTTACGTGAGTTTTACTTTCATTTTTTGTGATTTGAGTGGAGTCAACTCATCTACTGAGACAGAATTGTTTTGCAAATAACATCCTTACTCTGGCTGCATTATAAATTCGGAATATCCGGCTGATTATGTCTTCTTCTAAATCAGCTGACACAAACTCCACCTGAATAGGACCGTGTCGGTGTACTCCATTTTCTGGCCAGTACTGAGGACACAGCTAGAGAAGACACAAACACATAAGAGCACAGTTAATCACTTTGAATTTCATGCTGCCTCAATATAGTTTTCTAGATGTTTCTTTGCGCTACATTTATTACTGAAATTCTCACACAATATCTTTATGAAATACACAATGCACCATCCTCCACCAGTTTCGAGCACTTCACTTTTACTGGTGCGGAACAAGTTTAAACAAATGCCTTTTCACTTAACTGAACATGCTATTGCTTGCTGCTCTACGGGCCATTCTCCGGTACTTGGAGTAACACGTTTCTGACACTCAATGTCAAACCCGCAATACGGTATGACAAGACAGGGGATCCTGTCAAATATTACCATATCTCAGACACAGCGTGAAGCCTAAAGACCAAAGGCCTGGTATCTCCAACTGTCCTGAAAAGTTGGTAGTAATTCAAGCTACATCAGAATGTGTGCTTTATACGATGAAGGGTGCATCAGTTCTCAAAACTTGGGACTTAACTTTCACATCTGTTTCAGCAGTGACTGACGATATTGGCTAGTATCAGCATTGCTTTGAATTTTCAACAACTGCTCAATTTCATCTTATGAATGCCACCTGAAAATAGTAATTATGCTTTCTTTAGTGCTCAGAAAACATTACTTCTAGGTATCTGAAGATCACGAAGTAATATTGCCATTATCTTGCACAGTTTTAGTGTCTAATAATATCACGATGGCTTAATCCAGGAACCAATTATCATCTGTGTTAGTACTTTAAAGATTAAATCAACACTTTGCAGGGAGGTTTTTGAAGCTAGGCTCTGCTTGTCCATTTTTTTCTATAAAAACCCTAATGATTTTTTTCCAGGGATATTTAGAGCAGTTCAAGTGTGTAGCTTTTGCAAGCATTCACCAAAATTAAGTATGAACTCATGAAATTCTGTTTGCTTGCAGAAGCATTGATGTCATATTTGGAACTTTATTTCATTCAGTAAAACAGCTGTGGTCTTCATTCTGCTGCCTTGCTGTTGGTGATCCAGAGCTGAGCTGACAAATCACATTTACTCCAGATGTTGTTTTCCATTTCTTATAACACTTATTCCTCAACAAAGCTGTTTAGAGATGACTACATTTTAGGAAAACATAATCATTTACTACATCAATTAAAAAGAGAACAGGGTCTGATTTGCAGGAGTTCACTTTAACAAGTTAAAACCAGAAATTTCAAGTAGGAAAATATATTTTCATTTATTTGAAACCCCCCACATGATTCAGTCTGCTGAGCAAATTGCTTTCCAAATATTGTCTAAATCTTACAGAAATTTTTATTATGAAATATGCTAGCATACAGGATAGAAAAATACAATGCGTACAACTAATGCAAATGCCAGGGCTCAGATCATTTAACATACGCACAAGTTAGTAGACGTCTTTCAAATATATAGGAATACTGTTCTAACAGATCTTTGAAAAATGCTTAAATGATAATAAGCAGAGCTGTTTGCTGGAGCTGTTTTAGGAAGCCAAGATTTTCAAGTTCTAAAGAAACAAAAAGCATTTAGGTCTGCGCATTTTGCATGCATGTGATGCTCACGACTCTCTTGAAGTCAGAGTCACTGTGAAGGGTCGAATTTCATTTCCCAGCAGAGCATAACAATCCACATAAATTGCAATATCTAAACAGAACTGTAAACACTCCATATATACATAAATAACAATGATAACTGTAATTGTTAATAAATCTGAATGTAATGCGTGTTTTTAATAAGCTCTGCCCTCTCTCCACTTCTGTTTGCTCTGAGGGTTTTGAGATTTATTCCTAATGAAAAGATTGTTACTCACATTAGAGGGAAAAGGTTTAACATACTGCAGAGGCAGGTGCATTAACTGCATATCCCAATAGCTTTTAAAAGCCTATGAGGCTAATAAATGCTTGAAATAGCCATGCACTATTGTAAATTCAAAACACAGCCCACAAATTAAAAAAACTCCGTTCAGCAGTCCCTAACAGTCTGACTCCCTTGAGTCCTTCCTTATTCACTCAGAAAATAATCTTAGACTCATGAATAAAAGTTTTGTCTTTCATTTCTGTTTTTCTCCCTGTAGACAGTTAAGGGCTTGGAATCAGAAATTCAGTCTTTAAAATAGTGTGTGGATTTTCTACGCATTCCTTTGAAAGACAAAACGAAGATTAGTATGTTTTAAAAACAAATTCTTCATGTTAAAAAGAAGTAAGAGGAAACATTTTTCTAAGTATCTGCAATGCTCCACAAATCAAAAAAGATTCTTGATCATATCATGAATAAAAATGACATGCAGTCTCCTATAAAAAAAACAACAATTGCTCTTAACCAATAATTAGCAAATATTTACATTTGAAGAATCCAGATTACCACCGCGTTATTCCAACAGACGGCTGGGGCAGTTTGTTGGGACCAAGGAAATTATATCTGTGTAAGAATTTGGAATTGCGCAGTTGTGAGCCAGGCTCTAGGACGCTCAGTGATTAATGCTAGTGATTAAATTGCCAAACCAGTAGGTACGGTTTTCCAATTCTCTAAAGAACATGTACAGCATGCACAACTCTTTTGTAAGGTAATTACATTCCCCCACACATTTTGTTGCCTTGTTTTCTCTTCCGAAGGATGCTTAGTCTCCAATCATGTTTAGTTTCTATCTCCTTGCTAACAATGTCATTTTGTGCCAAACATAACACAGATTTTCATGCTGGGAACACCTATCGCCCAGTAAGCAGACCAAGGTCATTGACCTGTTTCAGGCTGTTGGCTTCTGTTTATGACTTTTGGCTATTATTAGTGTGTTTCAGATTTGAGTCAGAATTCTACAAGCATCATTTTTTGGTTTTTAGCAGCTCTTCCCAAAGCATGTTTTCTTATCAGAATAAATTATGGGTGTATGCATTTATGTGTGTGCGCATTAACATTTTGGTGGAGACGCTACTGATGGTCTGATTTATTCCTCTTGCCCTACGTGTATCTGCAAGGTACAAATAAATTTTTTAGTGTGTTAGTATTTAATGTTGTTTTATAAAACTAATTACGTCCTAAAGCTTTTCTGAAATGCTGAGGCACTAGCACTCCTCTTTTGAACGGAGCAGTCTTCTGGACTTACTTGTGCAGGATCCACATCGTTCAGCATAACTATTGAAGTGCAGTGATAATCTAGGACCAGTCTCCAGAAATCTTTGACAGTATTTGGTAAGGGATGCTGCGTAACTATAAAAGCTGATGGTTGCTTGTAGCTCTGCAAAGAAATAACAAGACGGTGAGAAAAATGGCAAGAGATAAAAATCCATTTAGCAGAATGCCAGTCATAGCCCCCAAATTTTGGGACTGAAAGCATTATTTCTATTTTCTATATAATTAATACATTGTTTCTATATAATTAATACATTTTTTCTATATAATTAATACATTCTCTTTTCTGAGATCCTATATGCTGCCAAGTTAATAAACTGTATTTGGCAGAATGTAACTTCTGCAGATGTTATGTTTCTGAAACTTACTTCATGCCACAGGCATAGAGTAAAATCATCAGAGGTTTTTGCCTCCAATACAACTCCTGCAAAATTTTGAGCAACAGTTTTGTATTGAGCTGTTAATGGACAGATTAATCTTGGCTGTCTGCACTTAGCTGTTAATTTGAATGATGCCTGTGAAAGGAAATACTTAGTTATTTTTCAGAAATATCGTTGAAGTTCTTGTCTTTCTGACAGCAGTGAGGATACCCAGGGGATAAATTTTAGTGCTCTCTGTTTTTTTCAGTACCAGAGCTGTCGTTGAGTGAGCTGTTTGGCGGAACTGTTCCATTGTGGATCTCATACCAGCATTTTCACTTACGTCCTCCTGGGTGTTGAAGGCCAGCATGGCCATACTGAGACAATTGTCAGGGGGGTTGCCATTGCCTTCATTAAGGAGGGCAGAGAAGCCTCTGCGTGCCCTGAACTGAAGTATTTGCACCCCGACACAGATACAATCTGATCAGCTATTTGCATCTTTCTTTCAGAGGCAGTCACTGAAGAGACCGCAGAAAATGAATCCAGTGTGTTTTGGGGTACAGATGAAGATAGGCAAGACTTCAGCTCTTTGTTTTGGTTTCAGCAAACTGCAATCAGCAGGTGTCAATGCTGCTGGTACATCAGTCAGCCACCTTCTATCCTACTGGTCCTGTCTTGCTGGAAGATGCATGCAGATGAGAGATGGTCAAAGAGCTCTCCATTACTCCCTCACTTAGAAGCCTCAGCAGTTTTTTTGGGAAAATTGTTCTCAAACTCATTCTAATACTGAATAATGCAAATTATGCTTGCTACCCCTTTTGCTTGAAGTGAGCTCTAAAGGTTTATATGAGGTGATCCAACTGCATCTCACCGATGCAAGTGGAGAGGGTGAAACGCATCATCTTGCCTGCTGGAGACGGAGTGTCCAGAGGGACAAATGTCTGCTCTTGTCCGTCAGTGCAGGGACGCTGCAGGAGCCTGGCTAGGGTGCGTCAGGTGGAAAGTGACCCAAATCACCTCCTCCCTCGGATCCTTTTGCCCAGACACACTTTTGGATCCAGCTCATTGTTTCAACAGTGTAGAAGGGAAGCATTTTCAAAGCAAATATTGAGGCACTGCTCTTTCTGAGCAGTACTTAATTTACAGAACAAAACAGTACTGAACTCTCCGGGAATGAAGACAATGTAATGGCAAGATTGCAAATTGCAGATCAAGGAAGCTCCGTTATAATATGAAATGTCGTTGACCTACTGTGAGAACCTAGAGAAGTCACTTAACTTTTGTTCTCACTTTCTCTACATAGATAAACATAAAGATAATACACTTACCCTTGCACAGGAGTGTTTTGAACTTAGGCTGACTTTACGAAAATGCTTTGAGAACTTGGACTGCTACAAACTGTTATTACTTTAGCTTCATTTTTCAAAAAAGGCCATTTACAATGTATTCGTTCTTTGCTAACCTCTGTTTTGTTGTTGTTCATGTGTTTGACAACTGTAATTACTATAGCTCTAAATTGTCAAAGATAGGCTATAAATATCTACAGACTGTAAGGGTGGTTTAAGTGTCTTTTTACTGATATTCTATTAGCAGGATTAGAATTATCATAGATGCATTAGAAAAAAAAAATTCTCCACACACGTGAAGAGAAACCATTCAGACGGAAATAAACGGCAAGACTGAAGTAATGGCTTGTGTATTATCTTGTGCTGACAGACAATTATTTTTTTTGTTAATTACCGTTTAAATTAGAAACAAAGGGAACTAAAATATTGCTGCAAACCTTATTATCCTATTTAACTGCCTCAGTGTCTTAATAGGTAACTCTTTTTTTCCTAGGCCAGATGGTTAAAAATTCAAGCACTAGGGAGAAAACTAGACACTTTTAATTTATCAAAACTCCCTAACTTGCTCTCTGAGCATGTCTTTGGAACCTTGGCTGTGACATAACATATGTGGGATCCTAAATGTACTTGGGAGTTTAAAGATTTTGTGCCATGTTTTTGGAAAACAAGCTAGAAGGATTTCAGCTTTCTTATGCTGACTCCACTTTCTGGCATTGCTCAGTTTGGTGGGCTGCTTATTCCCTTTTTATTATTAATGATGTAGTGGAGACTTACATCCATCAGTGCAGCATTAATGTAGTTACTGCTCTCCCCATCTATCGTTATAAGGAAAGGCAGACATCTGTCTGGAGGCAGAACATCCATACAGCGATTCTTTTCATGATTTCGTGGTAAAAGTGCTATGCTGCAGTCTTCTACACGCAGTGTCGGAGTCACCATATTTAAAGTCTTTCAAAAAGAGTAAACAATACAACAGAAAAATTAACACAGCAGTGAAAGCATCCCAAAATATTTAAGAACAGATCAGCTCACCATTCAGTTTCAGTGGGAATCAGTATGCAGAGAAATGAAAACACATCACAGTCAGGAGGGTTTGGAAGGAAAAAATCCTGGAAGCATACACATCTGAAAAATAACCTCAAAGACAGCTGCAGAGTAACCTGCCTTCTGGAAAAAGGACAGCAGAAGGTGTTGACATACCTCCCTTGATTAAAAAGGGAAGTACTCCTACCCTATTGAATTCTTTTATGATTTACCATAATTCAATAGCAATTAGTGACATAGTATTTTCCCCCCCTTTTTTTTTTCCAGTCCTTCCCTTCCAGGCCTGCTCCAAAATTCACATGGTAAAAAGCAAGCACTTAAGCAGAAGTCTTCAGTATAGCTGAACTGTATGGCTGCTAGCCACAACTTACCCTAAATTCCTCTTTGATCTGGCTGGAGTTAGTCTGAGGATCCAATTTATTCATTTCGTAGTAAACAGACCTAACTTGAGAAGCTGGAATAGATGTGTCCCCACAAAGACAGGCTTCCAGGATAGCATCATGGATGAATACATACTGTTCCTGATAAAGAAATTAAAATAATTACTGTCAGAGAGAACATATGCTATTAGAATTTTGGTTAAACCCCCCCAAAAAAACCTAATGTGGTTGCCCCACTAATTGTCTCTGACTTTAACGTCACTGAAGCAAGACCAGAAGGAACAACAGCAGGTAACAAAACTTTATCCCATTCATTCAGAAATGGATACAGAGGGATTGACTCAAACTAGTTACAGTTACAAACAGAAGTGCAATAATACTCCACGATAAAACTCGAATGTTTCTGGTTTCCTCATTTCTCTGCATAGTTCTGTAGGTGCTATCACGAACTGAGCTTCAACAAGAATGAATCTTCCCTGGAGAGGAAACACTCATGATATTGCTTTTTATAAAAGCCATTGTGAATCTTAACTGCAGCATAACTAGGCACTTGTTTGGGCAGCAGTTCTTCAACTTTGTGTGTGAATTATTTTCTGCATATAATTGAATACACTGACTTCTGGATGGTGCCAACCACAAAGAACCTCTAGTTTTATGGGCTAGAAGAATATTTTTTTCTTGCAAAGCATAAGGCAGTATTGCAGTAGATTAACAATACCTCGGTCTGCACCATGTTAACTCTCCGAGATCGAAGCTCTCTGACGCAATTGTATATGTCTACAACACCTTCTCTTTCTGCCATATCTAGCATGATGTCAATAACGATGAAGCATCCAGTTCTGCCAGCACCAGCACTAAAGTAAAAGAAGAGCACAGTTAATGTTCAGCAGTGTACTGGAAAAATGTAAAGCACAAGGTTTCATCTTGCAGGTACTTGACCAGTGGGATGATTACTGAAATTAAGCCTTGCATTTAGGCATTTGCAGAGTTTCAGACTCATTTTTTCCATTCTTTTCTATATTTTAGGTATTAAGTTATTGTGAGTAGAGCTCCAGTGGTTTCAGGAAGCTGTGTGGGGATTACACAGCGCAGGAGAAGCAAAAGAAGGTCCTGAGTTTAGCGGACAACACAACAAAGGGATTTCTGTTCTGCCTACCTGCAGTGAACAACCAGAGGGCCAGCATTTGGTGGGCTCTTGGATTTGACCTGCCGTACAAATCCCAGCAGGCCTGTTGCATGGTATGGTACACCGTGGTCTGGCCAGCCAGTGAAGTGAAACTGCCGAATTTCTCGAATCTCATGAGCACCCCTCTGTTGAAAAGACAAGGGTTGAAAAAGAAAAAACAAGCTGGAATGTGAAACAAATTGGACGAGAGACATCGTAGGAATGTAACTTCAGAAGCTTGAGCCTTGCTGAAAAAAATCCCCCCCTACCAATGCCCCTATCTCTGTGGATTGTTGGAGAGCTTTCTCATAGCAGGAGAGCAAGTCCAAAGGTTACGTATCAACTGGTTTCAAAGCCTGACAACAAAATTGACTAATTTAGCACTAGATTGGTTAGAAACTTTTAGCAACAAGATAGACGTTCCTCTTTATATTTAAGCACTGGGTTGCTTTGAAATCTGTGGCCTTAAGATGCATGCCATTAGCAGGAAGGCCATGAATATAATATAGCACAGATAACATTTTTTTCCCCCACTGCTCTCCCCAGGAGTTTTGCTGCTGACTTCGGGGAACTACAATTTCAGCATAATTTTCCTTATCATTTGTCTCCTTCATTGGTCTGAAAGAAACAGCTGAATAGTAAGAAACCTATTTGCACCTCCAATCATAGGGGCTGCGTTTGTAGCCCTCCGCATGCTCACCCCTCAAGTGATTTGCCACAGCCTACAAGGATGTGGATATGGTAAGACAGGTATGAATGAGAAGCCGACTGTGTAAGTAATTTCCCATGTGACTTTCTGGAGCAGTCTGGATATTAGAGGTGTGTAGGCTAAGTTTGATTTTCTTAGTGCTTGTATTTCCCCTTTCCCCTCTAAAAATGTAGCTGCCAGTATTTTATTCTCATTAGAAATCCACAGACCAGAGGCCATCATACATATTTCATAAGCAAACAGTAAAATTATGACATATCATGTCTAGGCTGGACTAAATGTCAGTGATATTAATAACCGGTGGTTTACAGTTTTTCTTCTTAAAGATGTATTTCCTGTCTTGAGCTGGTTTGCATATAAAAGGTCTAATTCTCTTTGCATAATGAAGTAATATAAACTTCCTAATTTATTGCTAGTATGCAAGCTGAAAGAGTCTGGGATTTTCAATGGTTGAGAAATTTTGGCTGTGCCAGGGCTACGTGACTGGAGTGGGCTTGGTGTATTTTGGAGTCCTGCTGCTCTGACAGCTCAGGCTGGGGGTCTGTGGAGACTGGGCATCTGCTCAGAGGAATATCCATGCTCATCTCCCTCGGAAACTGCGACACAAAAAGGCAGGCAAGGGAGAAGCTTGAAGAGCGTATGCGACACTGGTGTAGACTGAGTGGATCACACCCTTGCAACAGAAATGAGCTTATATCCTAAAAAACAATTTTAAAACATATTGAAACCCAGGAACAGACAAAGTAATTTGCATTTTAAGACAGTCCAGCAAACATATTCAAATATGATTTGGTCTCCGTACTCTGGGGATTTTAGAGTGTGTTAGTTAACACATCTTTTAGCTACTGTAAGCAAGGCCTCCAACTCCGTAAATAGCTGTGCGTAGGTGGGGTATCCATATCCCAAACACTTTTATATTGCTCATGACAACTGCCCACAATCCTCCAAGAAACAAAGATCCCATACAAAAAAACAACGCCATGACTACACAAACGGAGGACTGAAACGAGTACCCCACACAAATTCTTCATGCTGTACGCAGCCTTGATTTTCAAGCAACTTACAAGAAGTAAACTGCCCCTCCAAAATAACGCGCCCAGCTGTTGCACAGATCAGGATACATCCTGTGTATCTTGTGCATCAGTTTTGAAAATGCCGTCTGTCATACTGACTGCATTTTTGTCCATTGTTCGTAACACTCAGCTACTTAGAAAAGGTTTTGCATATAGGGTACTTTTATAATAAGTCTGCTTATTATACCTACAAAAGAATGATATTCATGTCTGTAGCTTCCCTGCTGGTTTCTAAACCCAAAATAGCAACACAACTGCATGAATCATAAAAGCATATGCTCAGCTTGGGAAGACTCTATTTTGTACTTTTTCTTTCAGCTGAAACAAACAGAAAATGGTGTACATTTGCTAACAAACCCTAGGATGTTAAAAAACACTACAAATACTTATGGTGCTGCTGTATGTTACTATCTGAGTAATTCATCTGAGTTAACTGTTGCGCTGTAAAGGAACTGCTCCAAAGGAACTGCTTATGCATACAACATAAAGCATATCTAGGAAGTGGTCTTCAGAATCAGAGTGTAATTTTGGATTCAATTTTCTTATCATTATCCCCCTACTCCTCAATAATTACCAAATAGCTATTTAAAAAAAAATTAAAATAACTGATCAATTTATCTCCAAACAAATCAACTTCTAAATTGTATTTTAGGAGCAGGTATGAGATGTTCATCCACAGACAGAAAAGATGGTCAGAAGGGACCTCTGGAGCTCTCCAGTCCAACCTCCCCCTCAGAGTGGGTCTATGGCCAACACTAGATCTGTCTAGCTGAGTCATGACGACCTCCAAGAATGGAGATTCCACAACTTTTCTGGGTAACCTGCTCGAGCACTGCACTACCCTCCTCCTGAAGGAGTTTTTCCGGTGCAAGCTTTCCATGCTGCAACTTCTTGGCCATTGCCCCTTGTTTTGCCATCCACTACCATTGAAAAGAACAAGGAGAATTTGGTGCCCCTGATTCTTTCAACGTCTTTGAAGTAATTGCAGGCAGCAGTTAGATCTTCCTTACCCCTCCTCCTCATCTCTACCACACCGGACAAGGCCAGTTCTCTTAAGCTCCCCTTGCAGCTCATATGTCCTACATCCTTAATCATCTTGGATGTCAGATGTTGTCCAAAGATGTCACAGCCTGTACTGACACATGGGTTAGTCCACTTAAGGCACAGAACTTTGCATTTTTTCCTTGCCGAATTACTAGTTTCTGTTGGCCAAATCTTTAAGTCCTTTGGAACTGAGGCTCCAGTGTTCAGCATTTCAACACCATTCTTCACTTAGTATTATTTGCAGATTTGCTTAGGGTGCACTCTCTCTCATCGTGCAGTTAATCTTAGAGAGTCTGAAAAGTATCAGTCCCAGTAGATCAGAAATATAAACTTGAGAGAATTCTGGTGGAAGAGATGTACAGACTTGACCTTCCAGTACCATTGGAAGAGTTAAAAAATATGGAAAATAGGGTAAAACCAAATGTACTTTACTCAAACTACACTGACACTGCTTTTAGAGGCTTACTGAAAAACTACCAACTATTAAAAAGCAGTGTCTAAATGAAATCTTTTCAGATGGAGATTTTTTTTAAGAAATAAAATGTTTAGTGCCTTTTATCTCTATCTGTTCTAATGCACTTATTCAAGACAGTTTGGTTGTGATCAACTGTAAAATCCTCTAGGTCTTTTTTTCCAGTCCCAGTTAAGAAATGAAAAGCTAACATCAAAGCATGGGCTTAAAATTTGCAGAATAGAAATCAACCAGTGCTTCATCTACTTCAAAGTGTAGCCACCGTTTCTCATCTGTTTATTAAAAATATCTAAATGCAAGGAAACAACAGACTTGAATGGCTTCGATGTACAATATGTATAGTGGTAAACATGATACAATATTTCAGTTCATTCAAATCGCATAATTCTATTATCACTACCCTCAGGTCGCTGTATGGATGCATATTTAAGTATTAGATTGAAGAATAAAACAGGAAAAAAACTAATTCCTTTGTTACTGAAAATGTATGTACAGAGACCCTGTTGGGTCATCTTTTTGGTAGTTTCATCTACTTGGGTGCAGGATTCTTTGATGCTAAAGATTATCTATCTTCTTCAAAACCATAATTGAATACCATTTCATCATTAGAGAGAACCAGTATATCACAGGTACTGCAACTAAATCAAAAGGAGTTTTCTAAGCTAATTAGTTGAAAATCTGCTCATGGTGATACTGAGGGAACTTCAGTGATGTCATTACGAATATCAAGTCTTCCAAACAAGTCCTTTCCTTGTTGCTCTGCAACTCAAATGAGTCTTGATACATATACTTAAAAGACTTCTGTCCTTTAATGAAATCTGAATAAAACCCCTGAATTGACACAAACTGCATTTGTTAATTGTATGTTGTCCATATATTGCAAGTTGCTTGGTAGAGCTACAAGATCTAGTAAGCATCAAATTCATGGCATCATTCTAATAAACAGTAATACAACGCACTGATTGGAACTCTCCATATAAAGACGGATTCCACAAGAAAAGTGAAATTGCCTTGAGAAGAAAATGACTGTGTTTCAGCTATGCCTCTGCAGACCAGGAACACACCGGCCCAACAGATAACAGTATTCTCCACCATGGACTTCTGAATAATGGTGCATACAGCCTCTGGTACAGACAGAAAATGATTGTAGGGAACATTAGATGGGAAAACAGCACGAATGTGTTTTTCAATTGATTGCTGGGCGAGAGGCTTCGATTTCTCCTAGGCAAGGAACATCACTTTTTCTAACTCAGGCAGGGACCAACAGTGATGGAAAGCACAGAAAAGTTGCTGCATTTAAAGAAAAACACAGTTTACCATAAGAGGGCAGTAGTCGTTTACCCAAAAAATAGCTACAAAACCGGGATGTCAGTCAAAAGATTTAACTTTCCCAAGTTGAATCTGTATATAAGTTACTTAGGCAGATACCATTGTATTTAAGAAAACAATTTGGAAACTTACCTTTTCTACTGCAAATGTTCGAATCACATATTCAGCCAGGAGCTCTGTTTCTATTAGGGTAACTTTAATGTCTTTATATATCTCTGTGTCATCTGGCCAGTATTTGCAGCATTTGACCTTTAAAAAATACAAAAGAAATTAAGGTTCATTTATTTTAGAAGGTTCATACTGAATCCATTCTGTATTCTGTGCAATGATTTCTGTTTTAAAATGCAGTCACATGCAAAACAGTCACATTTTCTGCACGTGGAAATGATTAATGTTTAAGGGACATTGCCTCTTCTTTTTTTAAAGACAGCTTTCAGAGTCGCAGGTGAGATTGGTGTTGTGGTTAGTGAAGTAAGGCAAATTTGTATGGAGCACCAGGGATATTTATACCCTGCACAGCTCAGTTACAGTAACTGTTCATTTCCTGTGCTTTCCGGGGCAGGGTGTGCCCAGAGGGACAACTACCACCAGAAGGTTTTTTCCCTAACCTCTAGTTGGTGATTTGTCTCAAAAATATCTTCTTACCTTCTAAAATGAAAATGTGTTTTTTTCGGACAGGAAGGATCTTCTCTACTGTTAGAAAAGTATCAGTTTTCTCAGATTAACTTTCCAAAGGAACTGATGAGAGGTCAAATGGCAAAACTCAACACTCGAAGTCAAGAGATGGATTCTATGTCTGGGCTTTAACACCAATTCACGAGATGACTCCAAACACTATGCCTGGGATTCATCTCACTTAGCTCAAACTAAGATGAGTAGAATGGATGCCTTCTACAGGTGCCTTTATTTTTAACTGTGGAAAGAGTCTAGGCACCTTTGCCTAGGTGTTTGGCTTCTTGATGGCTAAGGTTAGGGGAGATGACTTCCCCCTTCCCCTGTACTGATTTCAGTAGGCTTCTGGAGCTGTGCGTTCTTGGCAAATTGATCCTGGGATATGGAGATGGAAAGAAAGTGGGGTTTGTGAACTGTATTTCAGATTTTCTGAGCCCTGGTGTGGTCCACATGGGACAGACTTCAGAGTATTTAACATATTCAAACGTGCACTATTATTCTGCTATTTTTTAAAGTGAGTGGTTGTGGGGACTGTATATGATGTAGATAGTTGACAGACTTAAGAATTTCCTCCTCCTTTCCATTTGTGTGGACAAGACATTGCGCAGGGAAGCCTACACATTACTTACATCTCTCTCTCTTATTCTTTTCTATCACAGTAATAGCTATGCTATCACCACTGCATCTGGCCATCGTCCAGTAGTGCAGTACGTGCTAGGAGTAGCATCTGTTATACATCTGCTGCATGGAATGGTTTCTCTCTTTCTTTCACCGAAAGGAAAATGTAAATGGGATCTTTCAATACATGTGAATCTACTGGTTTACTTAAATATACACTTAAATGGGTCAGGTAAAAACCCAAAACACTTCAAATATTTAATGGAAAACTGATAGAAAAATAAAAAAACCCCAAAACTTCACAACTGGTAGAGTATTTCGCAAACCCATGTTCATGCCAAAATATTTGGATTACTATCTAGTCTTGAGCAAAAGGTAGAACTGATGAACGTGCGTATAACCATACAGTGAAAACTGTAATGCATGATTCAAATGATTTATTTATATAAACTCCAGGTTCAGTATATAAAGGATTATGCAGAGAGTCCTGTCAGGCAGAAGAAAATACTTTCCTCAGAGTCTGTTTGAAGTGACGTAGCTGATAATCACGTACAACCCCTCTTTACTGTCTGGACAGAAGAGAGGTCTTGCCACATCAAAGTAGTAACATCAGCTGATGAAATAAAAAGTTTGTCCAGGCAGAGTCAGTAGTTCCAACCCTTTTTCTGACTCTTTAGCAGGATAAAATTTAAATCTGAATAGAATTGAGCTGAAGGGCTGGAAAAACACAGTCCCACATCAGGATCCTCTTCAGAGAAAAAGAGTAGCCTGGTCGTAAGTCCTGGCTCCCAGCCACAAAATTATACAAGCATCCTACCAGCTTATTCCTGCTTACACAGCTGATGGAAAGCTCCTGGAGCAGAGCTGAAGTTCAGGTAGCTATAAGCAGGTTTTTATTTATTGCTGTATGCTTGTCTTCAGACCTAGTAACCGCATTAGTATTGGCTAAGAAAAATTCTTTACATTCTTCACATTTCATCTGTTATTAAGCATGGTTTCAGGACAAGTGGCAAACACCAGTTTATACAGTTCTCTTCCATAGCGAGCGGCTTGGAGCTGGGACACTGAACAGTCCTCGCAGTGCTCAGCACTCCTCCAGCACGGCAAGGGGAGCAAGACTGCTCTCGCCACCCCCACCGCCATGCTCACCAGCCCGCAAGCTGACGGTGGCAGTGTGGATGAGAAGGTTTCCACCAGCCAAGGGCCAAGCCGAGGGCCAACCCCAGGGTGCCTGAACGGCAGGATCTCTGGCAAACGTGTATTCGTCTCTAAAGCATATCTATCAGCTGTAAGCAATGAACACCCATTTCAAAAGCATTAAATGTTGCTGCAAGCAGTTTAGTAGTTGCTGCTGCTATCTATTGTTGCATCTACTTGATATTTATTCAGATTTTATCTTGTTTGCATATATTTCCAAAAATCCTCTGGTAGAAGCTAAGTGAAAAACATTGAATGCTCAGTGTTTTGTCTGTGTTGTTAAAATAATCCAGAAAATTCACATTGTTCAAAATCCCTTAGGCCAGCAAACTGACTCTTTCATAATCATTGCCAGCTACTGTCTGAAACAGGGTTTTCCTACCTGTGGCTAAGATGATTTTTCGACTCTCCGTGCAGAATAAGGCAATTCACACTGCCTCCGGACTGGAGCAGTCCACTTACAAGCCCATCTCTGGAGCCGATTCCCTTTTCCTGCCTGTTCACTTATCCTTTCCATAGGTGGAACCTGAACCACACGGAGACGGCCAACGCACGTAGGAAGGGAGCAGCTGCAGCAGTGATCCTAGTAGCAGCACTACTGATCAGCACGTCTCTCTGTTGCTAACTTTAGCCTTGTTTCTTTCTGATGGGTGCCTGCCATCCTCAAAACAGCTCTAGTTTTGTAAAATAAACAATCGGGGAAAAAAACCACCCAACCCTGGCTGAATTAAATTGCTCAGCCTTGAAGGAAAACATGCCTGTTTCTAACTTGGTAAGTCTAGACAGTCTGGATTATGACTAAGAACTAGGGACATTTAGAAAGACCAATTTAGAAGAACACAGTCCCCATCTTCTTATGCCTCAACTGTTGGATTTGCTTCCACTCTCTTTTTAAACTTTATTTAAGATGATCCAGTGGAATAATTAGGGAAGCACTGGGGGATGTTGCACAGAAGTTATAGCCTTTCGTGCCTCGTGCAGCTTGAGCCCGGCGGGGCCTTCTTACTCTGCTGCACAGGGGATTTTGGGCACGGAGCAGACTGGAGCTGAGCAGAAGGATCCATGACAACACAATTTCCTGAAAACTCTCCCAAGTGGAACAGGGGCTGTAACAGCCATGGGAACGGTGCCAGAGCCGCAGTCAGAGCCACAGACCAACACTAAATGATTCACTCACTGGGAGGAAAAAAACCCACAAACCAACCCACTTTTTTTTTTTTTTTTAATTCAGGCTTTTTTCCTACTTTTGGCTCTTGTTCTGCAATGCTGTTGCACGTGCTGAGCTCTAGACATGGGAACTCTGTGGACTCCTGATGAGCTAAAAGTTAAGTAAATGCTTAAAGACCAGTCTCCCATGTTCTCCAGGACCTCTCAAATAATTGCAAAGGTGTCTTGAAGACAGAAGTAGCTTAAATAGTGTAAATCAAAAATCACACTTATAAATGTTTATTGGATCAGGGCCTTTATTTGTACAAGGAAAGACAATTGCAACAAAATAGAATATGGTTTTACTCATCAAATATGAGAAACACTGCTGGTAACATATGTTTGTTCATTTT